ACTCCCTTTTGGGTCAGGACCCTCAGTTTGAGAAATGCTGGTCTCTCTCGTGAAATCTGTATAGTATAGGGTAAAAGCACACAAAAGACCAGATTTCACGGGGGGAGGCCAGATTTCATGGTCTGTGATGGGTTTTTCAAGGCTGTGAATTCGGTAGGGCCCTACCCATGAGCCATGGACCATTAAAGATATTGATTATCATGTTTATATTTGGCCTTCATTGCTTCCCTTGAGGAGACAGTTCCCCAGCCCTGTACAGCTCACTGGGACATATTTCATACCCTCCTGCGGCACACAGGCCACATCCCGCAGGTCTCACTGATTGTGGCTTATTGGCCTCCTCTGTGGGGCCTGCTTTGCCCAGGGCCCCCCAGTCCTGGCCGATCCACAGGCGCAGGTTGTCAGCACCTTCATTGTTACTACCAAGATGCTGTTCCCAGCATGCAATGGGCCAGCTTGCTTGGGCCAAAGTGAAGCACTGCTCCCTTCCAGTGTGCATGGCCAGCCCTGCTCTGGGGAGAGGGACACATCTGGCCCACTGTGGGCTCCCTAGTGCAAACCCGCTCTCTTCGCTCCCTGGGCCTGACTCATCCCAAGGCCTGGAACAGAGGGGAGGCAGCTTACACCACTGCTAGCCAGGGGCTGCCAGGGCCAGGGCCCTGTCTGAGCCACTGCAGCGCTGGACTGCCTCAGCTCCCCCCACCAGGATATTTTCTGCCCGGGGGCAGAGCCAGCACTCGTTCTCCAGCCATACGGGGGCTATTTCCTGCCCCTTCACACCAGTGTAGCCAGGGCAGAAGATGAATCCCGCTATTTGGGCCAGACCCCCCACTACCCAGCCCCTGGATCCCCACTCACACCTGGGCACAGCAGGGTACAATGCAGTCAGCCAGGGGGCGGGTGTTACCTTGGTGCCCATGGTGACACTGGGCCAGGCAGCAGAGTGAGGCCTCGCAGGGGTCAGCGGCAGACCATGTCCCTCGCTCCTGCCTGGCCGGCCGCACCTGACCTGGCTGTATTTTAAAGAATCCTTATTGAGGTTGCAGGAAAAAACCATCCCGATGTGTAGAAAGAATAGTAAATATGGCAGGCGACCAGCTTGGCTAAACAGTGAAATCCTTGCTGACCTTAAACGCAAAAAAGAAGCTGACAAGAAGTGGAAGATTGGACAAATGACCAGGGAGGAGTATAAAAATATTGCTCAGGCATGCAGGAGTGAAATCAGGAAGGCCAAATCACACTTGGAGTTGCAGCTAGCAAGAGATGTCAAGAGTAACAAGAAGGGTTTCTTCAGGTATGTTAGCAACAAGAAGAAAGTCAAGGAAGTGTGGGCCCCTTACTGAATGAGGGAGGCAACCTAGTGACAGAGGATGTGGAAAAAGCTAATGTACTCAATGCTTTTTTTGCCTCTGTCTTCACGAACAAGGTCAGTTCCCAGACTGCTGCACTGGGCAGCACAGTATGGGGAGAAGGTGACCACCCATCTGTGGAGACAGAAGTGGTTCGGGACTATTTAGAAAAACTGGACGAGCACAAATTCATGGGGCCGGATGCGCTGCATCCGAGGGTGCTAAAGGAGTTGGCGGATGTGATTGCAGAGCCGTTGGCCGTTATCTTTGAAAACTCATGGTGATCGGGGGAGGTCCCGGATGACTGGAAAAAGGCTAATGTAGTGCCCATCTTTAAAAAAGGGAAGAAGGAAAATCCGGGGAACTACAGGCCAGTCAGCCTCACCTCAGTCCCTGGAAAAATCATGGAGCAGGTCCTCAAGGAATCAATTCTGAAGCACTTAGAGGAGAGGAAAGTGATCAGGAACAGTCAGCATGGATTCACCAAGGGCAAGACATGCCTGACTAACCTAATTGCCTTCTATGAGGAGAAAACTGGGTCTGTGGATGAGGGGAAAGCAGTGGATGTGTTATTCCTTGACTTTAGCAAAGCTTTTGATACGGTCTCCCACAGTATTCTTGCCGGCAAGTTAAAGAAGTATGGGCTGGATGAATGGACTATAAGGTGGATAGAAAGCTGGCTAGAATGTCGGGCTCAATGGGTAGTGATCAATGGCTCCATGTCTAGTTGGCAGCTGGTTTCAAGTGGAGTGCCCCAAGGATCGGTCCTGGGGCTGGTTTTGTTCAATATCTTCATTAATGATCTGGAGGATGGCATGGACTGCACTCTCAGCAAGTTTGCAGATGACACTAAACTGGGAGGAGTGGTAGATACGCTGGAGGGTAGGGATAGGATACAGAGGGACCTAGACAAATTAGAGGATTGGGCCAAAAGAAACCTGATGAGGTTCATCAAGGACAAGTGCAGAGTCCTGTACTTAGGACGGAAGAATCCCATTCACTGTTACAGACTAGGGACCGAGTGGCTAGGCAGCAGTTCTGCAGAAAAGGACCTAGGGGTTACAGTGGACGAGAAACTGGATATGAGTCGACAGTGTGCCCTTGTTGCCAAGAAGGCTAACGGCATTTTGGGCTGTATAAGTAGGGGCATTGCCAGCAGATCGAGGGACGTGATCATTCCCCTCTATTCAACATTGGAGAGGCCTCATCGGGAGTACTGTGTCCAGTTTTGGGCCCCACACTACAAGAAGGATGTGGAAAAATTGGAAAGAGTCCAGCGGAGGGCAACAAAAATGATTAGGGGGCTGGAGCACATGAGTTATGAGGAGAGGCTGAGGGAACTGTGCTTGTTTAGTCTGCAGAAGAGAAGAATGAGGGGGATTTGATAGCTGCTTTCAACTACCTGAAAGGGGGTTCCAAAGAGGATGGATCTAGACTGTTCTCAGTGGTAGCAGATGACAGAACAAGGAGTAATGATCTCAAGTTGCAGTGGGGGAGATTTAGGTTGGATATTAGGAAAAACTTTTTCACTAGGAGGGTGGTGAAGCACTGGAATGGGTTACCTAGGGAGGTGGTGGAATCTCCTTCCTTAGAGGTTTTTAAGGTCAGGTTTGACAAAGCCCTGGCTGGGATGATTTAGTTGGGATTAGGTCCTGCTTTGAGCAGGGGGTTGGACTAGATGATCTCCTGAGGTCCCATCCAACCCTGATGTTCTATGTTTCTATGACCAGCCACCACTCCGGGTCAGTGCCGCTCAGATGCTGGTACTTCCCGGGCTCAGCCAATGGGGCGATGTGAAAGGTGCGTCCCCCCAGGCCAGGGCTGGCCCATACTAACCCGGGCACTCTTGGGGAGATACCAGTGTAACCCTGGGGGCTGGGACTCCCCCACCCCCAAGCTTTCTGCTAATGACAATGCAGCTCCCTCATCCACAGCAGAAAAGAGGGGTTGGATATGAATTTCTCCTCCCTCTGGGCCTGGTACTTCCCACAGAGAACTTGCTGCAGCCTGAGGCAAGCAGTGTGTTTGCTGCAGGCTGGGCCTGGCCAATCCCTGCAGCCCCTCTAGGCCCCACCAACCAACGGGCCTGCTCCGTGCAAAGCCTCTGTAAACAGACAGGCCCTTTCTATGCACAGGCACAGCTAGCCAGAGCTCTGCACCTGGCTGCAGGGGCAACTCCCTCACCCCTCTGCCCAAGAGGCCAACTGGCAGGACACACCCCAGAGCCTGTGACAGCCATAGCCCCATCACTCACACTAAGGGGCCCAGACCTGTTCCCGCAGGTGGAGGGGACCCCGCCGCACAGGCAGTGCTGGCTCAGGAGGCAGGGGGCAGGGGGCAGAGCCTCTTACCTTCTTCTTCTTCTTCAGCAGTACCTTCACCCCGTCCACTGACACCAGGAGACTCACTTTCTTCTTCTTGATGTTCTTTGCTTTAAACTCGTACTGGGGGAGGTAAGGGAAAGGCCAGTGAACCCCCTGCACCACCTGCCCACGCCCTCCCACCAAGCAGCACCCGATTGCCGGCATTGGGCGCTGGGGCAGAGGGCAAAGGAAGGTTCTTGTACACTCGCACACACACGTGCACACCCACACACGCATGTACACATACAAACACACACACATGTGCAAACAGAAGCACGTACATTCTAGCCCACAAGGATCTTGCTCTCCCTGTCAGTCTCCTGCTCCCCGCTTCTCTCTCACACACAAGCAGAGCGTACAACAGGGACACTAATACACAATATGTCATACCAGCTGGGACCAACAATGCCACTACGCCAGTATCCTGTGTTAGAAGCTCAAGAAAGACAGCCCCCTCCTCAATGCCCCGGCTGGCTGCAATGCCAACTCCTGGTGGCACGAACGACCCAGTGACACCTTTTCGGGGGAGACGGGATGTTACATTCATCATCCATTTTTATTGCAAATCTTCAGAGAAAAAAAGTACCTAGGCAAAGATGTCAGCAAGTCACTCAGAAGTTGGGATGCTAACCCACAGGGCTGGACCACACAGCACGCACACCCTCCCAGGGCTAGTCCATATCCACACTCCACCCCACTGCTTCCCAAACTGCCATCCAGGGATCACTAGCTGTCCCTGGAGCATTTGCTGGTCTTCTGCCCCATGCAGCTGACTGTGACCAGTGGCTAATGTACCCTTTCATTTAAAGTGAATGTAGTGATGTTGTATTACACCACCGTGGGTTTGGCTCTAGTCGCTACAGTTTCAAGCTCAACAGAGCAAAATTGTCTCTGGTGCTTTTCTCAAATGTGGAGGCTCTAGGGACACACAAAGTCCAAGGATACCAACCGCAGACACAATCACCAGCACAAAGTTTTATTAAAGCACTAAACAAATTTACAACTACCCATGCCTATAGAAACCCTCCACAAACCTATGCAGTAATTATACCTGCAGTCATCCTCACATCCCCAACGACATTCATGGGAACGATGGACCTCTCACAACTGATCATTGGTAGGGGGAGAGCTGCTACTGGGGGTTTTCCTGTGGGTATTCCCACTTTTACCCAACCAGGGAACCCTTTATATATTGCAATTCTACCTATGCCTAACGCCTTATGCATATGCATGAAGGTGTCAGCCGTCTTTTCCTTATCTGTACTTCTACACCCCAGGAACATTGGGGTGCCCCGTTTTATAGGTTGTTTCTAGTTCCTCTTATTCTCATTAGCATTTACGCACAACATATACCATGCGGTCAACACAGACATTCCTTGATGTTACAATCAGTTGTCTTGTGGTCTCAGACAATACATTGTGGTCTACTGCAATCACCTACTGGCCCATCTTTACCATAACCGTGTGACTTTATGGGCATAGGGTTATTCCTAGTGACTCACTCATGTTAAGCATTCTGATGCCTACGGCCTAGTATGGCTAAGCTGAAATCTTACAGGTCTCAGCCTGTAGGCTGTGCGTTTCAGCCTTGCTTTCCTTATCTACGTAATACACACTCATCACTGTCAATCCTATACGTCTATAATCCTACAACTTCAATCTATTTAGCATTGATTGTATATGAACTGACCATAACATCACTTAATACAATGATACGTGGATGATAGAACAAACTAACTGGCTACACTGACCAGCTCAGAGGCAATGAGAACTACACAAAACATGTCCCAGCTCTCACATCTCCACAGGGCAGGGACATTATGTGAGCACCAATAGGGGCAGAGGTGGGTCAGCGCGGTGGGGCTGGGTCCGTGTGACTGTGGGTTGGGCAGCTCTGGGGCTCCATGAGCTGATCTCTAGGAAGATGTGGTCCATCCTATGGCACAGCAAGAACCCCTTGGACGTTGATCTCTACAAACAGAAAGGGGGGGTTGGCTGGTTGTTAAAGTAGCCACTCAGACCCAGCAAATTCCTGCTCAGCCTCCCCAAGCCCCCTGCAGGTTCTACTGCAAGCAGTTCTTGGCCCACGCTGCTGTGCTGGGATGCTGACGTGCACTTCTGTGTGGTAAGCACTTGGGGGTCCTTGGGGACAGAAGGTATTGACAACGGTTAGGCTCTGGCACACTGAGACCACGGGCTATTGTGGTAACTAATCTGTCTCACTGTGTCCTTGTTCTCCCCATCTGTCTGTCTGTCTGCATCTGGTGTCTCTTGTCTTGTCCTTAGATTGCCAACTCTTTGAGGCTGGGACTGTCTCTTTGTGCTGTGTTTGTACAGCGCTAGCACAATGGGGTCCTGGTTTAGGCCTGGGGCTCCCTACGGACTCCACAACATAAATATGAAATACTAACGGCTGAAGGCTGGTAGTAAAGTATATTGCTATGTCACCGACATTGGGCAACTCTGAATCTGGTGCAGGCTGGTCAGTCTCCCCACCCTTTTGGGATCATTTGAGCCTTGTCTCAGGAAATCACAGTCTGACTCAAACACATTTACATGCCTTAAACTGAGGGGCAATCGCCCTGGTCATTCCAGTGTATGCCAGAGCAGAGGTTCTCAAATGCGCCCAATGTATTCTGGGGGGGGGAGGGGAGTGTAGGAAAAAAACATACTGCACACATTTTACCCACAGCAATGAATAACTAGCAAAGCTGATTCCTCCAGACATATCATGTCCTCAGGTGGCGCTGTGCATTTGACTCTAGGTGGCGCTGTGCATTTTGATGGATTTCTGTTAAGCTTGCATAGCATTATACAAAGTGATTGCCATCTGTATGTTAATCCATTTGCTACGGCACAGTGCGCACGTGTAATTGTAAGCATCGACTAGGGTGACTAGATAGCAAGTGTGAAAAATTGGGACAGGGGATGGGGGGTAATAGGTGCCTATATCAGAAAAATCCCCGAATATCAGGACTGTCCCTATAAAATCAGGACATCTGGTCACCCTAGCATCGACCACACTCACAGTTTTGCTTTTGCTCCTATTACAATGGATTGTTAGCTTGTTCGTGGAATTGCTCTGCTCCAAAAACCAGGAGCACCCATCACACTAGTAACAACAGTGCGATGCCAGTAAGCAGCATCTCACTTTCCTGTATACTTAAACGGCTCTGTTTGAATCAGTGCCTTAGTGGTTTTCATATTTTGTGAGAGTTGAATGTTGATGTTTTTTGTCAGTGTATGTACTTGTGTGGCAGGGGACACCGAGAAGGTGGCGCGATCAAATAAGTTTGAGAACCACTGTTCCAGAGTACCCTGTGTGCTGAGCACTGGCTGAGTGTTGAGGAAGGTAGAGCAGTATGAGGTAAGGGACAGGTGGTTTGTTGCTCATGCCCGCAACACACACACACACACACACTCTCTCTCTCTCTCTCTCTCTCCCTGTGAGCTGGGCAGCACAGCTGCACTCACATGCTCACTGCTGTTACAGGAGCACACCGGGAATTGGAATTTGGTGCATGGTGTATTTCAGAGCTGATCTCACTGCAGGGAGAAAAGGCCCAGATCAAAGAGCGCTGGTTAGACACCCATAAAAACCGCAGCCCAGCTTCAAAGGCTGCCCCCAGCAGCAGGCACCTTCCTGCGACATTAGCAGTGTGCGCTGAGGCACTGGCTTTGACAGCCAGCACTTGAAAGGTAATTTAACGATAACAGCACTAAAGTACAATTCCCCAAAGCCACTGAACACCTGCTGATGGACGTGAGATACAAATGAATCAGACAGAACAGCACCTGGAGGCTGCAATGAGAGCGACAGCTCCTAAACGTTTCCGCTGCCTCCAGCCAGCTGGGAGACTGGAGCGAATGAGCAGCTCCTGGTGTGGTGCAGAGCTGACAGCCTGGCGTGGCTGCAGCGCTAGGGCCTTGATCTGCCCCCAGCACAGTCTGACTCCCACCTTCACGCTGCTCACTGCCGACACACCTCACCCTCCTGGAGGGACACCCTTCATGGGGGAGGGGAGTTCAGACTTGACCCTTGGCCTCTCTACTGAGACTGCCAACAAAGGGGCCAGCTGGGGTGGGTTTTCAAATGACACGGAGGCCTGTCCACTGGACCTGGACTGTGACCCCCAGCCCCAAAGCCATTTCATGCCCAGCTGGCCGCAGAACATTCTCTCTCTCTGACATCAGTGAGTGCCAGGGAGCATTTGAAATGAATGAAGAACAGATGAGATTGACTCAGGCTATGTCTACACTACAGAGCTTACAGCGGCACAGCCGTACTGATTCATGTGCGCCGCTGTAAAACCCCTTGTGTAGCCCTCTATTGCGATGGGAGAGAGCTCTCCTGCCGGCATCATTAAACCACCCCCAAAGAGCGGCGGTAGCTCTGTTAGAGGGAGAAACTCTCCTGCTGACATAGCGCTGTGCACACTACCACTTATGCTGGCGAAATTTATATTGCTCAGGGGGGTGGAATAGACATGGTCTAATTGTCTCTGTATGGCTGGGCTCTAAGCGGGAGGGAAGGGGAGGAGCCCCTGTGTTTTGTGCTAGGAAGGTCTAAAAGAGCTAGTGAAGCAATCTGATCTTGAGCTGAGAGAAGGCAGGGCCAGGCAAGGCAGGGCAGAGGTGTGTGTGCACGTGCATGTGTGCAGGGGAATTTGAATGTCGTGGGGGGGATCAGGATGCTCAGATACTTGCTGTGGGGACTGAATTAAAGCAAATCCATAAACTAAAGGAAAGAACCCTTGGCTAGTAAGTGCCACACAACTCCTCTGTCACCCTGACAGCCTGTCCCAAAGCCAAAGCTCCACGGTAACCGGAGCAAAAAGAAGAGCGGCCCGTTACTGAGAGCGAAGAGGGCCCAGCTTACAGCACAGACTCCCCTGCCCCCAAAGCACAGACATCTTTTGTACCCTCTCCGACAAACAGGTGCCAGGGTTATCCCACAGGGCAGACTGATTTATGTTAAAGTGATTTAAGTCACAACTTTTAATCATGATTTAAATCAGTAAGCAGGAAACCTCGATTTAAATAATCAATTTTAATCTTGTTTTGCATTTGTACTTTTAGTT